CCAGATGTGGCCTCCCCGGTGCTGAATAGAGGGGGGAAATCACTTCCCTCAATCTGCTGACAAAGCTTCTACCAGTGCAGCCCAAGATGCCGTTCGCCTTCTTGGCGACAAGGGCACACTGCTGGCTCTTATCTATCTTATTGTCCACTGTCACCCCCAGGTCCTTTTCTGCAGAGCTGCTGCCCAGCCAGTTAGCCCCCAGCCTGCACCAGTACATGAGATTTTTTTTCCATCCTAAGTGCAGGACTTTGCCCTTCTCCTTATTGAACCTCATGAGATTTCTTTTGGCCCAATCCTCCAACATGGAGTAGCTGGGCTCAGGCTATCCTGACACATGCAGAAGTAGGGCAGCTCCATCCCTACAGAGCCCCGGGCGAGCGTGCGAGTGGTGCCAACATCTTGCTGTGTTGCTGACACAGCCTGCCTCTCTTGGAGAAGGTCAGGCTCACTTCCTCTTGCTCTAACTGCTATGCAGTGTTTTCACTAGGAATCTGAGAAGATGGATCACAACTAAGATCAAAGAGTGTGGATGGAGCTGGCAGTTGCACTATTAAGTTGTTACCCAGCATTGACAAGCCCATTTCATTTGGGTTTAAAGTTACAGCAGGTTAGCTTGCTTACTCCTGGAGAGGCGTGAGCAGATGTAATGGTCAATTCAAGCTGAGTAGCAGGTCTCACCTCCCCTTTGAAAATGGTTGAACATCATGTCTGCCCATGGCCTGAAACATCAGAGCTGGACTGGCGTTGGTCACCCGCAGCCTTTTAGATCATTTGGCTCCAGGCCAGTTGTCAGAGCTGTTAGTACTAACCCATGCACCTCTCCCAAAGCCATCACCAGTGTGTGCTCCGTGGGCAGCTGGGCTGTGCCCTAGGGCATCTTGCTAGCTTCCTTTGTGGCAGGCAGTAACTCACTCGTCTCCTCTCTTCACAGGACAGAGATCTTCTCTGGCAAGACAGTTACTCATGAAGATATCAAGTATGAACAGGCATGCATCCTCTATAATCTTGGTAAGGCCCAGAGCCCAATGGCTTGGCTTCCTTGGCAGCCTCTTTGCAGAGAGTCTGCCATGGCTTGTTCAACCCCAGACGAGTGTCCTTCTCCCTGGCCAGCCCTTCCTCTGTGCTAGGGGGGACCTGAGAGGGTAGAGAACCTAGGCAGCCTCCATGAAGGTGCAGTGCCTTTTAGTGCCTTGCCATGAACAGGGAAGGCCGCTGAATGAGGCCCTTGTTGCTTTACAACATTGGCCAAACCACTTTTCTGTATGTCTTGTAGCCTTTGATCTGAGGCTACTTTCAAGGTGTTTGACTCTGTATGTGTGTGCAGTCAAGGATGATTCTCTTCCATGGTGGTCTTGTCAGGCGCCTTCGGACCACAGATAAGGCCTACTCAGGATTGACAGACTCTGTTTTGGCTCAGACACATTTCAGTACAGAGTGGGTGCCTCTGGGTTTTTGGTCCTTGTGTTCGTGTGTGTGTGTGAGAGAGAGAGAGAAAAGCTGGATTCCAGGACCTAGCCAGGAGAGCTTGTCCCTTTCTCAGTGAATGACACAGCAGTGTGTCCGTATTTCACCATGCCTGACAAATCCAGGACATATCTGCATGAAAGCTGTATCAATTTAACTGCCACACATGCAGTTTTCCCCCAAACATTCATCCTCCAAAATTGGCGTGCGCATCTCAAGCAAGGAAGCTGATTTTCTGCCTGGAATAGAAGCATGGAGGCACTATGAAATGGCTCCTGTTCTTTTTCTTCTCTCCTCCTGCCTCCCCCTCACCCACCCAGCACTGCAGTGAGGGAGGGATGGAGTTCAGTCTTCAGCAGCAACTATCATTTTAACCATTATGTGCACACTGAAAACCTGGTAGTTACTTTAGCTGTGCAGCTAAGAGTTGCTGCCAATTATGCAGTGGCAGTGAGAGGCTTAAACCTGTAGCTTTTGCCTGTTCAGAAATGGCGGGGTGAGGGAGCTGAAGATCAGGCTTTGCCCCTGCTCCATGAGACTAACTCTCAGGGAGAAACCTTTCTTCATTCTACATTTCAGAAACAAGGTGCACATGGTATATAAGAAAATGCAATATTTAGACCTGGATCTGAGTGAAGTGGAGCAAACTTCCCCTTGTTGGGGCAAAGATTCACCGTCCTTAAGTCGATTTGGATTTTCAGTAAAGTTGTGGCCTCATGAATTGGGGTGTCCTGGGGGAAACCTCAGGCCGGGGCAGGCATGGGGCTACAACCATATCTCCTTGAGCCAGGGTAGAATCATAGAAAAATAGAAAATGAGGATTGGAAGGGACCTCAGGAGGTCACATCTAGCCCAACCTCCTGCTCCAAGCAGGATCAGTCCCAACTAGATCATCAACATCCAGATGTTGAGAAAGGAGGCAAGTGCTGGGCAGCCTTCCCTGGAGCCTGCATGAATTCAGTTCTGCAGCCTGATGCTTGTGGGTGCTATGTGCTCAGTGAGACTTGGGGCCACAATCCCAATTGTTCCTGGGCACCTCAACTCCCTCAGCGCTATGTTAGAGTCAGGAAGCCACTAGCAAACAGCCATGGCCACTTCCAGCTGTGAGCAGTGTTCTTGCGTCCTAGACACACCCCTTGGTGTTTGCAGCTGGACATCGCAGCCTCCTTCATTTCTTGTCAGAAACTGTTCTCTGGGGTGCGTGCACCCTCACACAACTCTGCCCCACAACTAAAGCTGAAACCCTAGCTAGGCTGGTCTCCTTGAGCAGAACTATACAATTTAAAAGAGCTGAAGAGTCTCCAAGATTGTGAAATGGGAGGAGAGAGACCCGGAGCAGCTAGCAGTCTACAGAATTGCCTTGAGAGGTTACAAGACCCTTTAAAAACCAGAGATGACTAAACACCCCTGGAGTGAAGAACAATGAAGCCATGAAGTTAGGTGACTCCTGGAATAGCAATGCAACAGCTGCTGTAACATGGAGCAGGAATCAAAGCAGGGGACATCTATCCCAGTCAGAAAATCAGCTTTCCTGCTTAACAGGGAGGGAAGCGGAGAAGGTAAATGTTGTACGTTAAAAACTGTGGTATTTTGTGGCCGTGTCAGTACAAAACATCCAGCACAAATGTAGCTGTGCCAGTACCACAACCTGGCCAAAGGCCTTCAGTAACCTGAGGAGACTGGACAGGCACCTGGCTGGGGTCTTATGACCCCTGCCACTCCCAGTGCTCCTTCCTGCCCATGGCAACAGGTTGGACTAGATGATCTGTCTAGGTCCCTTCCGACACATTGATTCTATGAACCTATGGTGGGTTTGTTTTACTGAAAGAGTCTTCCTTTGGGAGCTGTGATCATGGACACGCAATGTGTGTAGTCTGGTAAACGTGGCATGTGTGAAATGGCTGACAGCCTGACTTGAACCTTCTGTTTCCAACAGGCGCGTTGCACTCCATGCTGGGCGCCATGGACAAGAGAGTGTCAGAGGAGGTAAGGCTGTTGGAACAACTCGGTTTTTGCCTCTTTTCCCCAATAGTAGCACAGAGGCCTGTAGGACTGAGAGCCTTTGAAATGGTCATGGTTTATCCCCTCTGCGGTCTTGACATCATTAACTCATTTAAAATCTCACGGCCTAAAATGTTTTAATGCCCTCTTTCAAATATGGAGTTGTGGCTGGCAAAGATGAAGGAACAAGGTTTGTGTGTAGTTGCAGAATCAAAAAGCAATGCCTATTCAAGCCCTGGGCACTCTGCTACAGCGTAACATCACAGGGTAGTATTGCAGCAGGCTGTTGAAATATTTCCTCTGGCTGAAAGCACAATCTACCCCACCCTCAGTGCAAAGGGCTGGTCGTATGGTGTCCTGGTATGGCCCCCTTGAGCGTCCTGCCAGCTGCACCATCCTGTCAGAAGGGGAGAGATTGCAGCTAGCACTCATTGTGGAAGTGTGCCTGGGGCGCATGTCTTGGGGTCACTAGGTCCCAACCCACTAAGAGCACAGCAAGTGAAACCCAGCACCACATACTCTACCTGGGACCTTACAGGCAGCCACAGCTTGGGTGTAACATGCTTTTGCTGATACATGCGTGTGTGCTTTCTCCCCTCCCCGCCGCCCCTGGTCAGGGCATGAAGGTTTCCTGCACCCATTTCCAGTGTGCGGCGGGGGCTTTCACCTACCTGCGGGATCACTTCCCTCACTCCTACAGCGTGGACATGAGTCACCAGATCCTGAATCTCAACATCAACCTCATGCTGGTAAGTAGCAGGCATTAGTTGTGCCACCGATCCCAGTTACCTTAATTTTTGAAGGCATTAACTAAACCTGGAGCTGGGGAGAAATGCACCCAGATCTGAATCTCCCTCTGCATGTCTGCTTCAAAGCCCAGTTCAAGGGAAAGCCTTTTGCAGGGCCGTTAGATTATATGGACAAGGTCTGAGTTGTCTTGGTGCTTTCCAAGACGTTATCTTTCTCAAGATGCTCTAAAGTGCAACTGTATGGGAGGAATTGTGCCTCAGGCTGTAGGACAGACACTGATCCCACTGTGGTGGGGCAGGAACGCTCTCTTGTCCAGCTACAGCATTGCATCCTGGCTTGTGGGGTTTCCTTTGGGGTCTTTGTGACTGTTATCAGAATTGGACCTCGAGCTGTCTGGCATAGGGGCCTGAGCAAGCAGCGGGAGTTGATTTTCAAATTGAGGGAAATAGCATAGCACGGAAAGAGGCTGCACAGGTGGCCGTTGATATGGAAGGTGATGAAGATACCTTGGCGTTGTCAAGGCGGACAGGTCAAGAGCCTCCTGCTCTTCCACGTCTCCCATTAAGCAGTCTTGCTCCTTGCATGTTCCTGCTTCTCTAAGGAGCCATGGGAGACTAACAGCTGCTGGTGAACAGTTTGGCTGAGGTTACTTAGACCTGGGAAGGCAGAGGGGATTTTGATGTTGAACACTTTAAATAGGGTGGGTTTGAGTCCATCCATTTTGCTGAACTTAATGCATGAAGTGCGGAAAGTCCAGGCTCCCTGGAGGAAAGGGAAGGGGGGGTGGAAGTCTCTGGCTGGTGTGGGATCACCGGCCTTTGTTTGTCTTTAGGGAGTGCTGGGGTCTCGCACCAACAGGGATGTCCCAAATGTGTGTGTTGACTCTGATCGCTCAACCCGCCGAGTGAATGCTGTCTGGGGACGCTGGGTGGACCAGCAGTCTGCCTTAGTCCTGGCACCTCCCCTCCAACTGAGAACGCAGTTCAGCGTTCAGAGCCCTCACAGTCCTTGCTTGACCTGGCCATTATTGCTGCACCTAGGTGGCTAATTTTGGCAGTGGGTCTTAGTCCACCAATCCTGGACTGAACCCGCCTGCCCACTGCTCTCAGCCAGGGGTTTTTGCTTCAGGTCACAGCGACACCTGGCTACTGCTGGCTCTGAGGGCTTTGGAACAGCTTTATCCTGGTGCATTGTTCATCCCCTGAGCTACTTGGGCCTCTTGGCTTTGATTATTGTTTTTTAAGTATATTTGCCTTTGCCAAAAAGTCCTCTGTGTGGGAGGTGGTGGCGAGACCAACTCTGGAGGAGTGCTGGAATGAAGCAGTGTGATACCCAGGAAGAAGCTGATCATTTCCCTGTGTCTCTTTTTCTCCGTCAAGGGCCAAGCTCAGGAGTGTCTCCTGGAAAAGTCTATGCTGGACAACAGGAAGAGCTTCCTCGTGGCCAGGATCAGTGCCCAGGTGGGGGATGGGGGTGGCGCCGACACTCCAACTCTTTTGTCTCTGCTGTGCCAGGCTCCACACCATTTATGCTGGTAGCTGTCCTGACCAGGGCTGCTTCACATGCTTCCCCTGTCCCATATCAGCATCCACTGCAGTCTTCAACCCTGGGTCAAAGCGGTTTGGAAGGAATGGAAAATATCCCCGTAAGGCCTCACTGCCGCACGCTGAGCTGACTCCACTAGCAGCAGAGTTGGGAGGATCTGTCCAAGTTCCACTGAGTGCGAGAGGAATTTGTTAGAAAGGTGCCAAGAGTCAAGTCGCTTGAATCTGTGTGAACCCCCCATAATCCAGTGTGGATGGGGCTTACAGAAAGCCATGATGATCACAGTACTTGGGCACCTTGGGGCAGCCTGGCCTCAGGGTCACATTTACTTTGGGCTTACGCTTTAGCTTGTGTGGTCTGTGTATATACCCTGCTAGTTCCTGCATGGAGAGGGCCATCTCCAGGGGTGCTGGTCTGTCTCGTTGCCAATCAGCAGCTCATTACCCCGCCTAGGTAACCATGAAGTCACATGGCCGCATTCCAGCGAGCCCCTTCCCTGCCTTGTGGTTTTGCTCCTGTCTGACCTGGGACCAGCCCTTTCAGTTTGGTTCTCCACTGCTGTGAATCCCACTCATGCTCCCTCTGGCCGCCTCTCCCTGCACAGGTGGTAGACTACTACAAAGAGGCCTGCCGGGCACTGGAGAACTCCGAGACGGCCTCGCTGCTGGGAAAGATCCAGAAGGACTGGAAGAAGCTAGTGCAGATGAAGATTTACTACTTCGCGGCCGTAGCTCATGTAAGTGGGAGAGACGACACTGTACATTGAGAACATGTCATGTTCTTTGGCACCTGGGGAAGTGCTTCCCTCCACCTTTGGTTATCGATGCTGGTTCCCCACAGCCAGGATTGTTCTTGGAGACAGGTGAAATACAGGGTGCTACAAGGCCACTGAACCTTTCCTTAGGGCAAGGGTCAGCAACCTTGTGTTGTCAGCTCACACCATGAGCTGCAGATCTCTGCGCCTGGAGCATCCGAGCCACCTGCTCTTACCCTTGCTGCCAGTCCCTGTCCCCAGCAGCTGTGGCACGGGCAGATTCTCCAGCAAGAGCAAGCACATGGGTGAGATCAGTGGGGACAGCTGTGAGCCAGGGACTTCCCTGGGCCAGGTTCAACCTTTTGGAGGGACATTGGTCACCGCCCCCCACCCCGGGGCATCCGGTGGAACTTGTCTGCTTACCATCCGCGGTGTGTGTTTCTTTGCAGTTGCATATGGGAAAACAGGCTGAGGAGCAGCAGAAGTTTGGAGAGCGAGTAAGTAGAGCCCAGTCGCTGCTTGCTGTTGCTAGGTGAATGCGCTCGCAGAAGGAGTAGACAGTTGCACCTTACAGACTGACTGAATCAGCAGTGTGGGAGCTGTGGAGAGCAGCTCTTTCCTGTGCCAGAGGGACCCGGTTTCACGTCCTGGCAGGACCGGTGCTTGCAGAGCGGACGGGCGTCTGTCCATGGTGCTGAAACAGTGGCGACTCCAGGGGCTGTTAAAATTGATCTCAGCAGCACCTGCCTGCTATGAACCAGTGTCTGAGCTGGAACACAAAGGCTGACCAGTCTGTCCTACTCCATGTAAACTGCCATGCCACCTTCCTTGTTCCTGGGCAGGCTTTCAGCCAACCAAGCTTTCTGTTCTTGCTTGTGTCCTGCAAAAGGGGCCATTAGCTGCCCTCGGGCAGAGGGACGAGAGTTAAAGCTGAAAGCTGTATATGTCAGCGATGCGAGTTGCAGACCCTGGTGGCAGAGAAGAATCTCTGTGAGCATGGGCGAGCTGCCTCCGATCCCAGACACTGGGGTCCCCTACAGCATGTGATATTTCCCCAAGTGGCAACACTAGCTGTAGAAACCAAGCTGGCAGATCATCACGCATGATGGCTGTAGCTGCATTAATTCTGTAGTAGGTGGTGTGTCGCAGCACCCTCATCTACATCCTTTCTCAAGGGCATAGCCATAGCTGTCATGGGCTGGGCACCTTTACTGGGTTTGGTTGCTTGGTGCCTTCTTGTCTTAGAAAGCTGTGCTGTGCTTCATAGAACTGGACTGTCCTAAGTGTCTCTATGCTGGGGACTGACTGTTGTGGGGCTGCCTTGTTGTTCTCATGGGGATGTGATAAGGGCTTACAAAAGATTTAAATGACAAAGAGAAAGTCATAGAATCCTAGAAAATGAGGGCTGGAAGGGACCTCCGGGGGTTGCATCTAGTCCAGCCCCCTGCTCGAAGCAGGACCAGCCCCACCTACATCATCCCAGCCAAGGCTTTGTCTAGCTGGGTCTTAAATGCTTTCAAAGATGGAATGGGGATTTGCTGTTTACCACCTCTCTCCATATGAGAATGAGGGGTCACAAATTGAAACTAGTAAGTAGTCAGTTTAAAGCTAATACAAGGAAGTTTTTTCACACATCATGGAATTCGTGTGGGGCTCATTGCCACCAGGTGTGGTTGAAGCTGACAGCCCGATTCACAAAGGGATTGGACGCATGCCTGGAGGAAAGGGGCATCAGCAGCTATTGAACACAGTATTGAGGGGCACAGCCTTTGAATCAGAGCTTCCTAGATCTCAAATGCTGGAGGTTGCAAGTGGGAGAAGAACGAGGGGGGTGGAAAAACCATGGGCATGCCTAGGTCAGTCTCCCTTCCCACATCCACTTTCAGCTGTGGTGTGATGCAGGAGACTGGGCAAGTTGGACCTGTGATCTGACCCAGTCTATGGCAGGTCTCGTGTTCTTGGGCTCCTCTGTTCCTAGGGTGGTGAGGCAGACTAACCCTGCCTCTCTCTGCAGGTCGTCTACTTCCAGAGTGCTCTGGATAAACTCAACGAAGCCATCAAACTGGCAAAGGTACTCCTCCCCCTGCCCCCACCCCCACCCCGTGGTGCTGATTGTGTTTAAAAACCTTGTGCTCCGTGGTTGGGTGTCTCTTCAGGACACTAGCAGTGCAGAGTGTGCATATCCCCTGCAGATAGCAGGGGGCACCACATTAAAACTGGCCCCCGCAGGGTGCTGGTGACTACAGCTAACTCTGGCTTTCTCTCCTAGGGTCAGCCAGAAACTGTCCAAGAAGCCCTGAGGTTTGCGATGGACGTGATCGGGGGGAAGTGAGTGCTGAACAAGTTGTGGCTGGATTATCTGTTCTGTATCGCTCTGGGTCCAGTCTTTGGCAGACCCTCCCTTCCCTTCTGCTCCCTGGACTGGCTCTGGGGAGCTGTGTGTTTTCAGTGCCTGTTAAATAGATGAGGCTGAGGTGCAGCCACAGGTTCTTTCCCACCCTTGCCCCTGGTCTGTATGCACCTTCCAGCTCCACATTGCTCAACGTGAGCACTGTTGCATGCACTTCACTCTTACCTCTTCCCCAGGCAGATCCCCACCCATTGACTGCCCGGCCTATAGAGCAGAGGTGGCAGTGCTTGTTTCAGCCTCCCAGAGGCAGCAAATGCATGATCCCTTAGCCCTGACAGTCACTTTTGTGGGGTTTTTTAGGTATAACTCGGCCAAAAAAGACAATGATTTCATCTACCATGAAGCCGTCCCTGCTCTGGACACTCTGCAGTCTGTGAAAGGTGAGAGGGGCTGGGCACAGCATGGGTCTGGCACTCCCAGCACTCAGTCTGCTCCAGCGGCAGAAGGGATGGGAACATGTCAGAGCAGCGGTGTGTGGCCAAGGGTAGAGAACAGGGCCAAGCCCCGATTAACCCCTTACTGCTAGTGCTGCCTCAGACAGAATAATGACATCCATGTCTGTTGTGAACCCAGGTGCCCCCCTGGTGAAGGCCCTACCTGTCAACCCCACTGATCCTGCCGTCACGGGCCCAGATATCTTCGCCAAGCTGGTGCCCATGGCTGCCCATGAGGCCTCCTCTCTGTACAGGTGAGCGGAGGGGGACGTGGAGCCAGCGCTTCCCCAGGCAGGCTCCCCTGCAGCTGCTATGAGGGGGACTGGGGGTCGTCACTTCTTGGGAAGTTCCCACTCTGCAGGTGTCACAGGCTTTGCCATGGGGATATGTTCCTGGCAGGGGGGGTGGGGGGGGGTTCCTTCATGCCAATTGATGGGGCTGGGCAGTAAGGGGCTTATCATAGAAGTCGAGTCGAAGGGACCTTGTAGATCTTCAAGTCCGACCCCCTGCCTGGGCAGGAAAAAAACTGGGCTCAAATGACTCCAGCCACGTAGGCATCAAGCCTCTTCTTAAAGACCCCAGGGTAGGAGCCAGCACCACTTCCCTTGGAAGTTGGTTCCCGATCCCAGCCACCCTGACCGTGAAGTCGTTCTTACAGATGTCTGATTTAAACCTCCTCTCCAACAACTTGGGGCCATTATTCCTTGTTATGCGGTGGGGGAGGGGGCGCTGGGGAAACAAGGTCTCTCCCAAACCCTTCTAGTCCCCTCTCGTGAGTTTACAGACAGTCACCAGGTCCCCCCTCAGCCTTCGCTTGTGAAGGCTGAACAGGTTCAGGTCCCGCAGTCTCTCATTGTAGGGCCTGTCATGTTGTCCCCGGATCATGCGGGTGGCCTCCTCTGGACCCTCTCCATGTTGTCCACATCCCTCTTGAAGTGCGGTGCCCAGAACTGGACGCAGTACTCCAGCTGCAGCCTAACCAGTGTTGCATAGAGGGGGAGGATCACCTTCTTGGCCCTACTTGAGATGCATCTGTGGATGCACAGCAAGGTGCGGTTAGCCCTGCCAACCCTGACCTTGCATTGTCGGCCCATGTTCATCTTGGAGTCAATAATGACTCCAAGGTCCCACTCTGCCGGTTGGAGGGTGGGATTGTAGGATCCAGTGCTGACCAGAGGTTCCCGAGTGCGTTGTGCCTCTCCTGGTAGTGTAGCCTGAGTCAGACACCAGCTAGAACAGCCCTTGGAAAGCTTGTTCCCCTCTCCAGCGCTTGCCTCCTGGTTCCCTTCCAGCTGGGCTGATGAGGGGCTGGAGCACACTGGGCAAGGCTGCCCAGCCTGGAGCAGGGAGCACAGCAGGACATCAAGCAAGGGGTCGCCTCCCTTCCTCCCTTACCTGCTTCCCCATGCTAAGCACCCTTCTCTTCTCTGTCCTAGTGAGGAGAAGGCTAAGCTGCTGCGAGAAGTGATGGTGAAGATTGAGGCCAAGAATGAAGTGCTGGAGTACGTGTGCGCTCACATCTAACTGGGACTACCCCCCACCCCGTGCTCACCCCTTCCACCATCATTCAGTCTTCCCCCATCCAAGCTGGCAAGGAGTGATCCCTTCCCGCAAGTCCAGTCGAGTGTGCTCAGCTGTGTCCCTGCCCCCAGGCCAACTGGCAGCTGGGGTTTCCCTCAGGGCTGAAGTGCTGCAGGCTGTGGCCCTGTCAGGCCTGAGGAGAGATGTTGGGTAGATTGGCTAAGGGAGGGTACAGGGCCATGGGTCTCTGGCTGTGGTCTGCGTGGCAAGGGTCTGCCACAGCAAGTGGTGGCATGTGGTTTACCCCAGGGCGATTTGGAGCGTGATAAATGGTGCTGGAAATTGTCAGGGCTGATGGCAGTGCCTTGGCCCCAGCAGTTTGGCAGCCCCTGGTGTAGTTTCTGCCCTTACATCAGAGCTGGTCACGGTGCCACCAGGGAGCCCAGTTTGGAGCACATACAACACCAGCAGCTTGTGAAGTGCCCCTGGCCTGTGCTGATGGGCAGGGGATAACCCTGCCACTGGCCCAGCCAGCTGAGGAGCAACAGTCCCTGAACTCACCCAGCTCTTGCTCCCCCTTCCCCTCTGGACCTCCACGGTGCCATGTGCTGTTGGCAGCAGTTGCAGCCATGTCTGGGGCAAAGCACACACCAGTAGCAGTCTCCATTCTGCGGGGCACTCTGGGGTCTTTCCAGCTCCTCTCTCTCGCCCACATCCTCGGCTTGTGAGAAACCAGGGCCTGATGCACTCATCTCTCCAGCGCAGCCCTGGAGAGGCAGGTCCCAAGCACTTTTTTTTTTTGTATTCACAGCCAGTTCATGGACTCCCTGCAGCTGGACCCTGAGACAGTGGACAACCTGGATATGTACAGTCACATCCCCCCGGTCCTGATGGAGAAGTGCGCTGCGCTCAGCGTGCGCCCAGACACCGTGAAGAACCTGGTGCAGTCCATGCAGGGTGAGGGGCCGGGGCTGTCTGCCAGTGCTTGGGCGCTGCCCGGGGATTAGAGCACAAGGGTGGCAATGGGATGCTTGGGGCCTGTCCTCTGCTTCAAATCATGTCTCCTCTGTCTTGTCTTCCCCTGTGAAGCCAGAGGTGGTAGCCAGCTGGGCTGAGTAGTGGACTAGTGCAAGTCCTGGGGTCAAGCGGGTGTTTGTGGGGGCCTCCCCATCTGCCAATCTAGGCCTGGTCGTCCATCTGATGCCTTGTGGCATCCTGCCCAGAACAGCTCTGGAGTTGGTAACACCACCCCTCTTCTGCCCCTCAGCACTCTCGGGAGTTTACACGGACGTGGAGGCCTCCCTGAAGGAGATCCGTGACCTGCTGGATGAGGACGAGGCGCAGGAGCAGAAACTGCAGGAGCTGCTGGGGAAGCCACCGGCACAGCAGGCATCACCCCCTGCTCCGGCCCCCGCACTGGCTGAGGTGGGCAAGGAGTGGACCAAGTACATGGAGGTGCACGAGAAGGCCAGTTTCACCAACACAGAGCTGCACAAGGCCATGAACCTCCATATCGGCAACCTGCGCCTGCTGAGTGGGCCCCTGGAGCAGGTGCGGGCTGCCCTGCCTGCCCCTGCCCTCACTGAAGGTGAGTGATGCCTCCTTGGGCAGGGGCAGCTAGCTCTGAGCTGCTTGGGAGTGCTGGCCTGACCCGGCCTGGTCCCGGTTACCCCCTTGCAGGGCTGAAACTGAGCCAGTGCCAAGGTCCTGCAGAAAAACGGGCAAGTTCTCCCTTGTTCCTCCATCTTCTGCCTCTCCCTCCCCAGCAGACAGCAAGGGAAATCCATTGCTTGTAAGTGCCCCAGAGGTGCCCGTGACATCGGGCTCTCGAGGCAGCTCAGCTGTATCCGAATGACTCGCTTGGCTGCCATGTGAGCCAACGGGGCATGCAGGGCACGTGAGCTCAGCCCCGAGCTGGTGCAGTCTGAAGCACTGAGGGGAAGAGGAGCAAGGGGCAGGGCACCCCTGCCAAGTTGGTGCAGTCTGTGTCTAGCACCTGCTCTGTGGGAAGAGGATGTGCCTGCTACCTGCTGCCAGCAGCAAGCACTAGTGCTGTCTGGCTGGGGGAATGATCCTGATCCCTCCTGTCTTGTGGGGGCCACTTGAGCGAGCTGGGCCCCCATGGTAGCTGTGACCTGCGCAAGGGTCCAGCTTTCCCCCAGTACCAGTTAGCCTGGTTCTGCTGGCACCCGTGGGCCCTGGAGCTGGGCGGCCTGTGGCTCATGGAGTCCAAAGACTGGTGCTGGCAAGCATCCTTCAGTTCTCCATCTGCCCTCTCCTCCTGTAGATGACAACCTGGCGCTGCAGAACGTGAAGCGGATCCTGTCCAAGGTGCAGGAGATGAAGGACCAACGCACGTCCCTGGAGCAGCAGCTGCGGGAGATGATCCAGAAGGATGACATCACCACCTCCCTAGTTACCACGGACCGCTCCGAGATGAAGGTGAGGCGCGCCGGGAGGCAAGTGGGGTTTCCCAGGCCAGCAGCAGGCCGAGCCTCTCGGCAGAAGGCCAGGTGGGTTGGCCAAGGAGAATTTGAAGGCATGCAGCCTGAATCCACCACTCTCATGGGCTTCCTCTTTGCTCATGTTCCTGCCCAGTTTCTATCTGGCCCGCTGGATAAAAAATGTGGTCCAGACTGTTTGTAAAAGTACTGTTGACCCTGATGCAGCACCAGGCATTGCACCCAAACCTGCCACAGGGAAGGCAGGGGGGCCATGGCAGCCAATGTCCTCTGCTGTAAATGGTGGTTAATATGTGCTCGAGAGATTCTCTGCAGTGCGGGCATAGCCTCTCCCTGGGAAGACAAACCCACCCCCAGTCCGTACGGATCTGACCAGGGTGGGAAATTCCTTCTTTAGGTCTGACCCTGAGTGGAGGGGCAAGACCCTCTAGCCAGGAACTTGCAGCTTTGCTCCCAGCAGGAGCACTGGCACAGCCCACTCCAAAGTCCCCACCCTGCAGCCAACAGAGCAAGGCTTAAAAATCACCCTGCCACACATGGCAGAAGGGGGAGGGCAACTAGCAGAGCCCAGAAGCCTGGGAAATCTTCATAGGAAACCATAAGCAGAGGTTACACCTAGATCAGCCCTGACCAGTGACTCCTCGAACAACTGCAGGGGTGGAGACTACAGCTTCCTTGGGCATCTCTTCCACTGCTTCCCTGCTCTAACAGCAAAGAAATTATTTCCCGGTGTCCAGTCTGTCACTGCTCAGCCTCCTTCCAGAGAGCTGAAGCCACTGGTCAGACCTGAATGCCATGTCCCTGGGACAGATGAGCAGGGCTTGGGGCAGAGGTCCCCTGCAATGAGCCACAGGCTTTACAATCCAGGCCAGGCCCGGCCTCCTTCCTGTTGCAATCTCACTGCACAGACTCCATCGCAGGCTCTGTAGTCAGCCTCCAGGCTCACTCTCCTCCCACCCCATCACTAGTGACCTCCAACCTCTACTCTTCCCCCCCCGGGCAGAAACTCTTTGAGGAGCAGCTGAAGAAATATGACCAGATCAAGGTGTACCTGGAGCAGAACCTGGCTGCCCAGGAGAACATCCTGAAAGCCCTGACTGACGCCAACGTCAAGTATGCAGCTGTGCGGAAGGTCCTCGCCGAGGTGGAGCACAAGTGAGTGCTGGGCAGTGGGTGTGCATGCAGCTGGGTCCTCTGGTCACACTGCATCCTCCTGCAGAGGGTGCCTGCAGAGCCCCAGGTGTGCCTGGGGCCTGTGAGAACAGTGGCACAGAGATGGTGGGACTCTCAGCTGGGACATCGGTGGCTGTGAACGTCCCTCGTTCCCACCCATAGGTTCAGTCTGATCTGCCTGCTCTGGTGCCTTCTAGAAGCACTTGCGCAGCTGGCTCTGGAAGGTCCTGCATTGTTCCTGCATGGCCTTCCTAACCCTTCACCCTCTTGCCAGGATGAGCACGTGCTGTTGCAGCCTGTGATCTCCGGCCTCCCCCAGTCCCTGTGCGACAGCATCTGAAATGTAGGGGAGCAGTGGGCAGCACCAGACTTCGCTCTGCCATCTGCTCGCAGAGACCTCTCTATGGGGAACAGTGTGTCCCCAGTTCAAGCAGAGGTCTCACCAGCCACGTGCTCCTCCTTGACATCTCCAGCTCTCATGTGCTGTTGTCTCGATGGCAAGGCAAAAGTGTGACGTACACAGACCTCCTGGGGGCTATGTGCCCGCCCCCTGCTTTTCCAGCAGTGCCCTGCCCATACCCCACCCCTCATCCTGTACCTGTACGTCTCCAGGTGGAACACCACTGTCCAGATGCTGGTGGCATCCTACGAGGCCTACGAAGACCTGATGAAGAAGTGCCAGGAGGGGAAGGACTTCTACACTGACCTGGAGAGCAAAGCAGCCAAGCTCCTTGAGAAGGCCCGAGCAGCCTGCAAAGCAACGGAGCAGAACCGCCAACAGATCCTGGAGAAGTGAGTCACGCCCCTGCTTTAATCTCAGGGTGGGGGGCAGATAAATCAAGCAGGGGCTCGGTGAGGGGTGTGGGGCAGCACGTTGTCTATAAGCCCCATATTTAAGGGTGGGTAAGCAGGGCCAGACCCCGCTGGTACGTGCCAGCCTGATCCCAACGGCCCCATGTGCCCTTGCCTTGGCAGGGAGATGAAGAAGAAGCCCCCTCCGCGGCCCACAGCCCCCAAGCCCGCCTTGCAGAAGTCCTTGGATCCGGAGGCAGTGGGTGGCCTGGATGGGGCAGAGCTGCCGTCTCTGGGCTCCCTCACACTGGCTGACCTGCCTGAGGAGCTGCGCAGCTTGCCCCCAGATGTGCTGGCCGCCCACTTCTCCCGCCTGCCCCCTGACACCGCAGCCGCCTTCGCTGCCAACCCTGCCCTGGGTGTCAGCCTCCGGGCCCCTGGCCCAGACGTTTTTGTGGGTCCTGGCCGCACAGCAAGTGCCCCCCTGCAGCCCCCTTTGGCTGGTCCACCGGGTGCCCCGTTTGTCCCTGGCCACTTCCCAGCCTCAACCCTGCTGCCCGGGCACTACCTCCCTGGAAGGGTGCCAGCCCCACCTGCCGGCATGCCCATGGGCTCGGTGCAGGGCCCTTTCCCCCCTGCCACATACAGCGGGCCCCCAGGGCCACCCACCCCGCTCATGCAGCCCTCGGCCTCGCAGCCAGCCCTGCCACGACGTGGATCTGCACCCTCGCCCAGCCCGCAGCTCTACCCAGGGGCCACACTGGCACAAGGCATAACACACTCCAGTGCTGCCCCCATGCCCATCCAGCCAACCTACGCCGGGCCTCAAGTGGCCCCCCAGAGATCTTCTCCGCAGCACATGCCCATGGCGGTCTCTGGCCCCGCACCAGGGACCCCCGGTGCCACCTACGGCCTGGGGCAGCCTGTCTCCCCTGGCGGGGTCATGCCTAGCGGTCTCCCTGCCGCTGTCCCAGTCAGACCCCCTGTCATGGCACCCTCAGGCCCACTCCCATTTAGCCAAGGCAGCAGGGACATCCCACAGCAGCCACAGGGTGTGCGACCTGCCACCACCACCGTGGACAGCATCCAGGCGCCCATCTCCAGCTGCACGGCCCCCCATGCCATGGCTGGCCCAGTGCCGCCGCAGCAGCTGCCTCCTCATGGCGGCTTCATCCCACCGCAGATGCCCACAGGCCCAGCCTCCCGGTTCCCGTACGCACAGGGGAGCGTCCAGCCCTTTGTGCCCCAGCCTCCCTTCCCCGCCGGGCAGCCGTCACATGCTTTCCCCCCTCACGTCCAGCTCCCGCCCGGTGCCGAGATGCCAGTCCGGCCCCAGCCGTTCCAGCCCCAGGCGCCCTTCCTGCCTCCAAGCCGGCCCCAAGCCCCACTCCCGCAGCAGCCCGTTTTCCCGCCTCGGGCCCGACCGCTCTCACAGGCCCCGATGTTGCCCCAAGCGCAGTTCCCACCCCAGTTCTCCAGCCAGCCCAGTGTGCTGGCCCCCGGGCAGCCTGCCCTGCACATGAGGACCCAGGTCTACCGGCTGCCGCCTCAGGACAAGCTGCCCCCACACTCTGGGAACATCGCGTTCCCCCATGGACCGCCCCAGCCCGGCCCTGCCGCCATGCTGGCCCCGGGGCAGCAGCTCCACCCTCTGCCTGCCGTGCAGCCGGTGCCCGCGGGCTCTGCTGCACCGCTCGTCTCCGCCATGCCCTTCTGCCCTCCTTCTTCTGCCCAGCATCCGGGTACCCAGGCAGGCCCGATGCCGCCGGGGCCCGTACCACTGGGCGGCCCCCAGCCTGCATCCTCTAGTCAATCCGGCCCCCACCACGTGGCCCCCGTGCCCAGCCCGGCACTGAGCCAGATGCCGGGTGGGGTGGTGGTCGCAGGCCCGGCCATGCCCTCCCCGGCACCGTCCCCTCAGCCTTCTCTGACCATGGTACCACCAGCCGCAGCTGGCCCCGCCACCCTGCCACAGCGGCCCCCGCCCTCGCTCACCCCTGGCGCAGCTCCTGGCGAGGTGCAGTTCCACCGGCAGAGCTCCTCCACGGACGACCTCCTGTCGTCGAGCCCTGAGAGCCAGCACGGGGGCTCCCAGGCAGCAGTGAGCCAGCCGCTGCTGCAGCCCACCAAGGCGGATGCCAAGGACGGCGCCAAGCCCAGGGCCGTGCAGCTCATCGAGAACGACCCCTACGAGAAGCCTGAGCGCGTCCTGCGCCTACGAGCCGAGCTGGAGCGCTTCCGCGCCCTGGTAGCCGGGCTAGAGCAGCCCGTGGGCAGCAGCACCAGCGAGCTGGATGCCATCTGGAAGGACCTGCAGGATGCCCAGGAGAGGGACGCCCGGCAGCTGTCCATCGCCATCGCCCGCTGCTACTCCATGAAGAACCGGCACCAGGACATCATGCCCTACGACAGGAACCGCATGGTCCTGCACTCTGGCAAGGACGACTACATCAATGCCAGCCGCATCGAGGACCTCTCGCCCTACTGCCCTGCCATCATTGCCACCCAGGCCCCGCTGGTGGGCACTGCCGCTGACTTCTGGCTCATGATCTATGAGCAAAAGGTGTCAGTTGTTGTCATGCTGGTTTCTGAGCAGGAGATTGAGAAGGTAAGACCCTGGGAATGGCCTTTCCCCCTCCTTGCCCAGTTACTCTCGGGCCCTGGCCAAGCAAACTGAGGCAGCTCTGGTGTCCGCTGTGGGTTGGCGTGCAGCTATAGTGCTGGGACCATGGGCTCTGTCTCCTCTACTGAGCTCCCAGGGCGGCTGTGAGCCACAGACCAGGCCAGAGCCTGCCAGAAGGAAGCTGGCAGCACGGGGAGCTGCAGCCCTGGCTGCTTTGGGGCTCAAGTGAGCATAAAGCCCAGGCATCGGTGTCGTAGCAAGTGTCCTCTTACCCCTGTATTGGTGGGCTCTGATCACAGCCCCTTCCCATCCCCTGTGTGCATCAGCTGGGCTGAGGGCTGGGGTCTTGGGGAAGGCTAGGGAGGAGTTGGGGGGTCTCGCCAGGGAGGCAGGGGGAGATGTCAGCTGGGCAGGGGCAGTCTGCTTCTCGCACTGTTGGGCTGGGGTGGCACGGGGCCTCCTGAGCCGGCTCTGTCTCCCCACAGCAGAAGGTGGTGCGGTATTTCCCGGCAGAGCGGGGCCAGCCCATGGTGCAGGGGCCCATCACCCTCACCCTGACCAGCCTCAAAGCTGCTCCCACACACGTGGAGAGGATGATCACACTCCAGTTCCGCGACCAGAGCCTCAAGCGCACCGTCATCCACCTGCAGTTCACCTCCTGGCCCGAGCTGTATGTGCCAGCGTGCGGGGGGAGATAACCAAGCTGGGGGCAGGAGGGTGCCATTGCCTGGTGCTGGGGGGGCACAGCTGGTTCCTCTGGGGCAGAGCTCGCAATGGCCTGCTGGGGCAGGATGGAGGGAGGTCCTTGGCTCTCAGCAGGGACCAAGCTGAGCTGTGCAGAGCCCCCTGCATGGGCTGTGCTTGGGCCCTGCAGCAACGACTCTTTCCCTCCCTGCAGGGGCCTGCCCGACAGCAAGGGGAACCTGCTGCGCTTCATCCAGGAGGTGCACGGGCACTACCTGCACCAGCGTCCCCTGCACACACCTGTCGTTGTCCACTGCAGGTAAAATCCGGGGGCAGGTGCAGGCCTTCATGGCAGCAGCCCCAGCTCCACTTCTCCCTGGGGGGGTGGCTGCATGCATACTGCAGGGCTGGGCACAGTGCCCTGCACCCTACTCAGAGCCACACCCCCTGCCAGGGGGAGGGGCAGCTCCCTCCACCTGCCCCGGGGATGTCCTCTCTGCCCCCACCCCTGTGCTTGGGCAAGGCAGCTGCTCCCACCCATGGGTGCCTGCCTCACTTTTCTTGCATCCCTGGGGCTCTCCTCGGTGTTGTAACCCCCCTGACACCATGCCTTCCTCTCCCCAGCTCGGGCGTGGGCCGCACGGGTGCCTTCTGCCTGCTGTACGCGGCCATGCAGGAGGTGGAGGCTGGCAACGGCATCCCAGACCTGGCCCAGCTCGTCCAGCGCATGCGGCGGCAGAGGAAGCACATGCTGCAGGAGAAGGTACTGGGCTGGGCTGGGCTGGGCTTGCGGAGGGGGCATGGGGCTGGGATCTCCAGCTTGCCCGGCCCTGCCCCTCACCCCAGCCTCCCTTCCAGCTGCACCTGAAGTTCTGCTACGAGGCCGTCCTCAAGCACGCGGAGCAGGTGCTGCAGAGACACGGGGTGGCTGCGCCCACCGCCAGCAAGCCCCCCCAGCCCAGTGCCGCACACAAGGTAGGGCTGCCTGAGCTGGGGAAGGGGCAGTGGCAGGGAGGCATTTGCAGCAGCTTGCACTGAGCTGGCCAAGGCCTGGTTGGTTGTTTGTGCTGGCTGTGCCCCACTGCCCCAGGCACGTCTGATCTGTGGAGTAGGGGCACCGTTGCCCCTACTCGCGCCTGCTCCCAGGCGCCTGTGGGGGCTCCAGGCCTGCACGGGGGGTGCTGGTGGGGACCAGTCTGACACGTCTTCCTTTTCTCCTCTTCCAGCTCTACGTGCACCAGGACCCGCAAGACCTGGTGCTGGGCGGGGACATGCCCATCAGCTCCATCCAGGCCACCATTGCCAAGCTGAGCATCAAGCCCTGTGCCCCCGGCCTTGAGCCTCCCACGCCCTGGCTGCTGCCCGAGCCGGCCCTCGCAGGCGACACTGGGACGGGCACGGTGCCCCCAGCCACCACTGCGGCAGCACCTCCCGGTCTTGGAGACGGTGCTGGCCCTGTCCCCGCCGAGCTGCCCCCCACGTCCGCCCCGGAGGTGGCACCTGAGGCAGAGAGCAGCAACCACGTGGAGGAGAGCCCAGGGCAGAGCCCCCCCGCAGAGCCCCCGGCTAGCACGGCGCCCTCGTCCTCGTCGCTGGAGCTGCTGGCCTCACTCACCCCTGAGGCCTTCTCGCTGGACAGCTCGCTGCGGGGTAAGCCCCGCGTCAGCAAGCAGAGCTTCCTGCAGCCCCACGACGGCGAGGGGCTGCGCGGCACCCGGCCCTCCGACGACCCTCTCAGCATGCTTGACCCCCTCTGGACCCTCAACAGGGCCTGAGTGTGGCCAGGGGGGCCTCTGCCTCCGGCAATGCCAAAGCCCTTGCCTGCCTCGATCCCAGCAGCCTGCTGCAGTTGCTGGACGTAGGCAGAGCCCGGGACTTGGGGGCTTTGGATGTACTCAGCACTACAGCGATGCCCCTGGCTGCTCCCACCCGCTCAGTACGTCCGGCCTGGCCTGCTGGGAGCAGCCAGCCCAGACATGTAAGGGGCCCGGGTTGAGCAGTGCCCTTTCCTCCCCAGCAGGAGAGGGGAGCGGGGCAGGCTGGGAGGGTCATGTCCCATCCTGTCTGAAGGCTCGGCTCTGGCTGCAGTCCAGGCTGCGCTGCCCCTGGCCCCCCGCTCACCGGCAGGATCCCGGCGGCTGCCGCAGTTCTGCCTGGCTGATGCCTCCAGGCAGGCGTCTGGCTCGGAGCTCCTTGCCCCTGCGCTGGAGACTGAGGGCAATTGCACTTTACCTGGGGGCAGCCAGGCATCCTGCTGAGCTCGCTGGGGTCCATCTGGTGTGGAAGCCGGGGGCGGCAGGGCACAGCCTGGGCCTGCCCTCAGCTCTGGGGGGAGGCTGTCTTGGAGGGCACCAAGGACCCCCTCTGGCTGTGCGCAGCACTCCAGCTGCCTCCTGGCCCCGTGCTCTTCCTGAGCCCTGTAGCTGCAGGCTCTTCCCCAACACCAGGCCCCCCTCAGGCCTGCTGCCCCGTTGCTCCCTGCTCCTGCGTGGGGTCTGTGCAGTCAGCAGCACCACAGAGCTGGGCCTGCAGCCTGGGAGGGGAAGGCTTGGAGCCCTTGCCTTGGTCTGTGTTGCCGACAGGCCTGCTGTAGAGCATCCCTTCAGACTCAAGGGGCTTCAGCTAGTTTCCTGGGGCCCGTTGTACCCCACAGGGACCTGAGCAAGTGGGATCCCTGCAGGCACCACCCCTCCCTCTGCAGCACCAGGGTTGCCGGCCCGGGAGAGGAGCCATAAGGGCTGCTGCCTGCGCTGCACCCAGGAGGCTGGTGCTGGGGCACCAGCGCAGGCAAACCCTGATCCCAGCCATTGCTGTGGCCTCGTGCTTGTGCCAGGAGCAGCTTCCACTGCTGGGGGCTCTGCCTGGCCTCTCACACCTTGGGCCCCTGCTCCCTGTTTGTCTGGGTGCAGCAGCTGCTGCCAGTGCCCGGGGAGCCCGGTCTGCCCTGCATGTAGCTGGGCTGTGGCCCGTAGCACCTGCCCTGCCTGGTCCAGGCAGCTTCACTACACCAGGGTCTCTGCCTTCACCTGGGTGCCAGCATCTGTCTCCAGATTGCCTCTAACCAGAACTGACTTTTTCAGCTCTTTGCTACTAAAATAAATGGAAGGTTTGGTCTGGCGCTGGGGGCTGCTCTGCTTGCTGCTTGTGGCGGGGGGGAGGGGGAGGGCGCAGTGTTTTGGGAGGTCTGTAACATGATGGGCTTGGACACGCAGTGAGGGGGCTAGCGCTGGCTCTGCCCTGAGCACAAGCACCCGCGCCCGCTGCATCTCCACTGCTGGCTGCAGCAAGCGAGCTGAGAGCATGGCCGCGCCAGCGGGGACGCAGCCCTTCGGCCAGGGTCCAAGTCCGTGCGACTCCAGTTGTGGGAGTTCCCAGTGCTATAAAAAGGGGCTTGGCCTGGAGCCGTCTCCTAAAAGTTATGGGCAACCAGGCTTCTGGCTGTCGGAGCCAGAGCGGTGCCACTTGCCTCCCGGGAGCTGCAAAATGACCTGGTTTGCACATGGTGTCAGCCCAGTGCAGCCCCACTTCCACATGCATGTGCCGGATGAGTCTGTCTGCCCAGTGCCGAGGGCAGCCCAGTGTGGTGGCCTAGATGGGCAGAGCGGGTCTGCGCCTCTCCTCTTCCAAGAAGGCAGGGTCAAGAGGCACCTTGTCGACCAGGGGCTCTCAGCCAGGGGTCCTGGGAGACCCTGGTAGGGAGGCTGCACCACCCAGGTGCTGTGTGAGCCAGTAAATGCTCTCGTCCCCCATCTTGCGCTGCAGCCGCTCCTCCGGGCTCTGCTGCCACCTTCCCTGCTAACACAAGACCCCACAGGCGGCCCTTGCCCCTCCAGCCCGGGGGCAGACAGGGCAGAGAGCAGGGGCAAGCCTTGCCCTCACCTTGGATTGGTGATTCTCAACCTTCATTTTTTTTTCCCCGAATGTCTATAGCAGCTGGTGATTCTCAACCAGGTGCTGCTAAAGTCGGAAGAGCCCTGGAGGGGCCTGGAAACTGGACAGGTTGAGAACCGCTGGTACGGCCTAACCCAGCGGCAGGCTTCAGACTCATGGCTCTACTACCGCTGCCTGCGACAGGGCTAACCATTAACCAGCTCCATCCCGGCATTCACGGGAACTCCTGGCACAAGGCAGGCAGCAACCCCCAGCATGCAGAGACGCAAGCTCCCATCAATCAGGCTGGGGTTGTGCAAGCTGCTTTGTGCTGCAGCAATGATCCCGGTTAGAAACCTTTTCAGCTGGAAGGGGATGTTTCTGGCTGCCCAGAGCCAGAGCTGCAGCGGGGATGATGGGACTGTCCAGACCGCTGATCCCCTTATTCCTTGGGGAACACGTGCCCTTCGCAAGGGGGTCCATTTGGAAAGCACCTTCCTTGGAGGATGCTCACTAGAAGATCCTTGCTCAGCTCAGCAGAGTGCCCCGGTGGTGAAAGGAGAAGCATCTGTGGCAAAGCGAAAGGCTGAAGAGCCCCTTTGACCAGAGAGGACGTGGGAAAAGGACATTTAAAAACCCTCTGTGCTTTAATGCGATGAAAACAAAAATCAAAGGAGAGCGTCTGGGACGTGGAGATGGGCTATGGGTAGCAGGATGGACATCTGCAATGGGCTGAAACCTGCAAAATTCGACCGAGGCGCTCGCAGGGGAAACCGAGGACCTAGGAAAGGGAGAGAAGAAGCAATCGGAGCAGGCGCTCCATGCCTTACCGCAGCTGGAAGTGAGGGCGACGGGTCCTACAAACGGGGCGCGCTGAGCTCACAGCCCCCTCCCTTGAGCTCAACCCAGAGGCACGATACTAAGCTTGCTGCATCTCGGAGGTGGAAAGCTGCGGGTCCCAGGAAGAGCAGCGAGCGGTGCGGCGGCAGCACGTCACGCCGGAGGAACAGGAAGGCTTCCAGTCTTTACGACGCAGAACGTAGGGGCAAGGGCCCTGGTCCCACAAGGAGAAGCAGCTCCGTGACAGGGAAAGGCAAACTGGGAAGGCCGGGAGGAAGGCAACGCCGGCGGACCAGGAAGCTTGGGGCCAAGCCGGAGGATGGAGGGAGCGTGATGGGGCGCAGACATCCTTCAAGGCCCCACAAGCATCTGCTTGGCAATGAAGGGCAGGCAGGGGCATGGGGACCCCAGGCAGAGCAGCACCTGGGATCATTTAAGGTGGGCACTTGCAAGGGTGGAGGCAATTTGAGGCCTGAGCTGGAAGGACGGGGTTAGTCTTTCTCCATTCTTCAGAGGTTGTGGGCCGGCGGCTCTGAGCCTCTGCGGTTGCAAGAAGACTCCAAAACGGTGTGGTTTTGAACCCCAAAGGCAGTGCTGTTCAATGTGCCCTGGACCCCCTGCCACCACCACGTCCGGCTACCACTGGCGCAACCCTGTCCAGGTGGATGGATAATGTGGAAGAGGGGATGTTGCCAAGGAAAAACAGCCGGGTCGGGACCCAACATTAGGGCAGCGGAGATGCACTCCAAGGCTCAGAGCAAAGGGCAAAGGTGGGGGGAGGCACGTGGGGAGAGAGCAGTGGGCGCTGAAATACGCCTCTGCACAGCTGTCTCCAGAGACGGGTCCTGTACACGGTCACTAGTAATATAGCGCCAGGGCTGTGCTGTCAGGGTGGACAGGAGTCTCACGCAGAGTTTAGCGTAGGGGATGGTTTGGATAGGGATGATCTTGCTTTGGGCAGGGGGCTGGACTAGATGTGACCTTTGGAGATCCTATGCAGCCCCCCTTCTCTAGAGGGATTCACTTCTCTGTGACCCTATACAGATGAGCTAGATAATGTGGGCCCCACCCTGCCATGGGCAGTTCACAGCACGGAGGGGGATGAGTTAAACACCTCTTGAGGGCTAGGCGGGAGCCCCACATTTGGGGCTGAAGGGTATAGTAACAAGGGTCATACAGGGCTGCCCAGGGGAGGGGAGTCGGACTGGGTGACTTAAGGGTGGGAGAGGACTTTGGGAAATCCAGTTATGGAGAGGGCTGGGGTGGGGGCAAGAATCTGCTTTGCTTTACTCCCTGCACTGTACCATGAAGGCAGGTCCCTCCTATATTTATTCTTATCGTTGTGGAGAGCAATCACCGTGCAAGACCCTTGGCAAGGCTTCAGTGGAGAAAGTGCAAGTGCATTCAGGAAACAAGGTCCAAGCGGGCGCGTGCTGGCATAGTGCGGAGGAACGGGAGAACCAGTAAAATGCTTTCTGTTGAAGATGGAGCCGGCTCGCGCCGCTAAGAGGAGAGAGGTTTTACAAGCCGTGAAAAAGCACAAGACTGAGCCTCGTGCCTCTGCAAGAGACCCAGGTCCTGACCTGGCATGAAACGTCAAAACAGCATGGGCACAAAGGCCGTGCTGCTCGCCAGGGCATTCGGCTAAGGGGGGGTGGGCATAGTGACAGGCCGGTCCTTGACAAAAGGACATACCTTCTGCTCGCAGGACATTTTAAAGACTCATAGAAACAGAGAAAACGAGGCTGGAAGGGAGCTCAGGAGGTTGCATCTAGTCCAACCCCCTGCTCCAAGCAGGACCAGCCCCAACTACATCATCCCAGCCAGGGCTTTGTCTACCTGGGACTTAAACACCTCCAAGGACAGAGAGTCCCACACCTCTCTGGGAAGCCTGTTCCAATATTACCCGCCTAGTAAAAAAGATGTTCCTAATATCCAACCTCCACTTCCCTTGCTGCAGCTTGAGCCCATTGCTCCTTGTCCTGTTGTCTGCCCCCACTGAGGACAGAAATTGTAACAGCTGTAGATCGCTACCCCATGGTCCCCAGCCAGGCTCAGCTCTTTCTTTTTCCAGTTGTTCAGAGCTCTTAATAGATGTAGGGAAAGGACAGTTTCATGTAAGCCCTAGGAAGTGAATGTGAGTGAGGTCCTGCTGCGGTGGCGATGGTCAAGACGTGTGGGATGGAAGGGAGCTGAGAGGCTGGGAAACTTGGTACCTGATATTTGGGGAGTGAAGAGCCCAGACCCCAGGAGCTGTGCTTGCTGCTGTGCTGGGCCGAGAGGTTTGGTAGCTCCAGCACCGCGCACCCTCAGGTTGTGTCGGTGTCTCCCTTCACGGTCCGTCGGGCTGGTCGCTCCCGTGTCTGGTATCAAAGTGAAGAGTAGCCCTGGAGCCCCAGTGCACCTCTGCCCGGTGAGCCCCTACGGCTCCAGCAGCTGCGCAGGGATTTCCTAAACTAGTGAAGAGCCCAACGATAAACAGCAGGACAAGGCTGTGGGATGAGGGGCAAAGCCATCCCAGGAAGGGACGAGGCCCAAAATGAAAATGGACACAGCCAAGTCCTAAAACGGTCATAAGAAAATATTGGCTGTTAGCAGCAAAATGAGTCTCTTACAAATTCATGAAGCAGGGCAGACTTCAAGGTGCATGATAGAAAAGAATACGAAGGAAAAGGAGGAGCTGGACTCCGGGCTGGAAAGGGGAAGAAAATGAAGGGTGACCCCGCCCCCGCCCCCCCCCAATTAGATATAGCAGGGGACAGCAGAAGGGGTAATTTGTGCTTTCTGCAGGGGGGGGTTGCTAGTGCACTTGTACCCTGCTTTAGCCCCTGCTCCACCCAGAGTTTAAAGCCAATGACTGCAGCATCTCCACTTTGACCTCACGGCTCATTAAAATCTGCTTGTTTCCTGGTAAACTCTTCACTCCACAGGTGTTAATGACCCTCTTTGCCACTGTCTGGCCACCAAGCAAGCTCACCTTTTCCCTGCAAGCTGCTGTCTGGTCCCTGTTCCCTGCAGCCTGCCTTTACCTCATTGCAATCGCAAAGACGTGGGGCTGGAAGGGCACGGCAGAGATCATGTCTAGTCCGTCCCCTGCCCAGGCAGGGTCAGCCCTATGCAAAGGCCCCGGACATGTAGCCAGCCCGCGCCATCACATAGGCCGCAGCATTTATCTTTTTCATGGGCACATGGCAGCCTAGGCAGGGGCAGCTAGAGCAAGGAGTAGAAAGTAGAGCAGCAGATCAGGCAAGGGAAGGGGCTCGGAGTGGCTATTTGTGGCACCCCTGCCAAAAAAGTTGTTTGCCTCCTGCTCTAGAGCTGTGGTTGTCAGCCTTTTCACCTGGTTTAGGACCCTGGTTCATGAGTTATAGCACTCACCTGCTTGAGGAGCAGGCGGCAGGGAAGAGCCTGCGCTCGCCTCGCGTGTCTGCTCTCCAGGCTGCTCCTGTCCGTGGCAGTCGCGGCTCCCCAGGTGGGAATCGCTGCTGTGGATGCAGGGACCAGCCTCTGGCTGCAGAGCATGAGCCCATCTGGGGCTCTGCTCGGAGTGTGGCTTTGCAGTGGATGCTGCAGCGGGACAGCATTGCACTGGATCCCTCTACACTGATCCATCCCCTGTTCAAAACCTGCCCTGGATCCACCATTGCTGGACAAGAGAGGGCAGAGTAAGCCTCGCCCTCTATTCAGTAGCTACGAATAGCTCGACCCTGCACGAATGTCCTCAGCCCCTTGTTGGCTGTGCTGTATGCCTCCACCTCTCCTGTGGCAGTGAGTGCCACAAGTTAACAATGCAGTGCATTAAAAAAAATAGGATTTTCCCTTGGTTCTCATTTACCTAAGGACCCTGGAGCTTTTGTACTAGCAACTGGATGCCTCTTGTGCAACTTTTCATTGACAAGAGGATGCAGCAGCAATACCAGCCCACGAGTGTTTGCTCCCATCGTGGGACCTCCGGCTGCAGCAGGATTCCCAGATGTAAGAAATACAGGCTGGGGCAGGAGTGAAACGCGATGTGCTGCTGCTTGTAAAAGACCCTCTGCCCTCCCTCAAAGCAATAGCGTTGCAGCCAAGCCGCCTGGGTCCAGTCCGTGAGGATAGGGCTGACCCTGCCCAAAGTCAGGGTTAGACTAGATGTGACCCAGCTTCTCTACGACCCATCCATCGCATTGCTGAGACCCTTCAGCAAGAACAGGCAAGGCTTGCACACTGGTTAAGGAGCCAAAGATGAGCACATCAGTGTTACACTGGGCTCATTGAGTCTGCAGAAGGGAAGCCTGAGGGGGATTGAATAGCCGCCTTAACCTCCCTGCAGGGGGGCTGCAAA